AAAATGTCTTATTTGAATTTGAATACAACGTAATCTTATTCACACTATACACCTATCGCTATTGACGCACACCAAATCAATCATTTAAAAACATTAAATAATGAGCCACTAAACTAGTATCCTGGTATATAAACTATATACATATGACTTGTTTTACAACTAAATATATATTTCTAAATATTCTTAGTACAACCAATGCGAACTACAGTCGACTTTGGATATACGAACTTCTTAAAACATTTTATTTTAGGATCGATGTAAAAACATAGTAAACACGAACCCTTAATAAACTGTAACCGAACATAAAACTAGAATTTGTAAATTTTATTATAAGGTTCGAGTTAGTAACATAGTAACTGAGAACTGAACCCTTTGATATTTTCACATATAAGGGAGGGTCGGGTATTATGGCGCGGAGGTTATTTTGGCGCACTTACATTTTTGATAATATCTTGCGATCCACTGATTAAAATTGAACAATTTTAGTATCATTCGTTTTACTGAGACGAATCGAATGATATAAACTTTAATCAATTCTGATTAAGACTTGAGGAAAAGTTATAGATTATATGTAGTTATCACCTATTTGGGCAATTTCGGGGGGAAGAGATCAGCAAAGTAAGCCTATCTACATATATTGTAACGTATATAGTTTTGAATATCAATACGTGTATACATAGTTCGCCATAATACCCCAACCAAAAAAACGCTACGTTTTTTTTAAAAAAAAATTTATGGCTTATTTTTTGCTTGTCGATAGATATTAAGTCGAATATTAGTTTATTTCAATTATCCTAAGAACTTTTACTATTAGCATTCTTACGTGCCACTAAGAGAAAACCCGTAAATCTTATTAGCGGGTTTTCGGGATATGACTGTGAAAGAACTTTAAGAACTTTAAAATCTTTCATATACATACGCCAATTGTTTTTTTTTTTTTTTTTTTTTTATACAGTATACATATTTTTTCCACACAACCTTTTTTTTTTTTTTTTTATACAATACACATATACAAAAGTACATATTTTTTCCACAACCCACACCGCTTTAATAAATAAAAAAAAACTCCTATGGTTTTTCCATAGGAATTTTCCAAAAATTTAAAAGCCCACTTCAATGAGGCACCCACACGGAAACCTTTAGTAAAAGGCGAAAGGTTTATACGTTCTGCGAGTACCTCGTGGGAAGATGGAGAACAAACCAACGAATTTCATCCTTTATTTATAAATTTAGGAGAATTATGGGATTCACAAAATGGTAAATATCTGCGTTAATCAATCAATCAAAATCAATCAATCACAACATCACATGTATGTGTATCATGTGGACAAATTTTTTCTATAATACATAAATGAATACTGGAATACTCCATAACGACTCGTATCTTATTCTGTCTTATTCTGTTCTAAAATAATCTATTAATAAAGTGTTTCGCAAAATACCAAGGCAAATTTCAGCTTAGTCTAAAACACTAATAAATCCGTAATTTTTTTTATATGTTTTATATACTAGTTGCTAATATTAGTTATGTATATTATTATCAGATAAGGCGTTTCTTGTACTTTTAAGGTGAAACCAATGATGTATAACGGATGTACCAGGGCGACTCCCCGAAGTTTGGGCGTAGCATTTTGAATTTGAGATCTTTGTTGACAAAACGACTCTCAAGACCTTATCAAGACCATA